GAGGTTTTGGGGGCGATGAAACCGGTTTTGAATCCTGATTGTAGTGATGGTTATATGAATGTATCCACATGTTAAAATTCATGATACTGAAAACCAAAAAACAATCATTATTTTACTATAATAATTTCAAATACGTTGTATTAAAAAAACTTTTAATGGGTCACATAGAAAGGACAGGGAAACATAATAGCATTCAACATAATGCCAGCCTTCTCAAAAGTGACATTGAAAGGCAAAGAAACAGTGGATTAATGCCTTTAATATCCTTAGTGAAAATTCCCAGCCTGAAATTACATATCTAGCTATCAATTAAGTAGGACATAAAGACACACTTTGCTCCTGCAAAGTCTCAAAAGAAATCTCCCATATACGTCCTCTCAGAATGCTCCTGGCAGAGGTGTCCTGTCAAAAACATTGTAGTAAACTAAAAAAAAAAAAAATGGGTTCCAGTAAACAGAAGATCCCACTTACAGCCTTGGCAAAGGGATGTTCTCGATCGATGCAGCACCCTTGGCAACCAATAAAGGTTGGAGCACGATCTGGGAAAGCGATCTGCAAGAAGAAAGGAATGAACATATTTGAAGATTTGGAAAATACTGCTGATAGGCCTATGACAGAAATGCACGTTCCCTTAGAGCAGGAACTTGATCTGTCTTGTTCACTGATATAGTCCCAGGTCTTAGAACACTTACTAGCACATGGTAAGCATTCAATAAAGGTTTGTTAAATGAAAAAAAAAAAAAAAAAGAAGAGGAAGAGTGAATGGGAGGAGAGGAATTTGATACAGTGAGTACACACAACTGTTTTCCAGGGGTTTTTCTTTTAAAGCTGAGCAGGGAAACGTAAGGTAGCTCAAAGGGAAAGTGGGATCAGGAGAGTTTCTCAAGTTAGGAGAAATGACGTGACCGTATGCTGATACAAATGATCCCAAAGAGAGGAAAACATTTATGAGGAAGGAGAGAAGTTTTCTTGTGAGTGCCCTATGTCCTCAGGGAAATGGGAAGCAAGGTCATCAGGTGAGAGTGAAGATGGTCCGTGACCAGCGAGTACCACCAAATCCTCAACCTCTCTAGAGGTTCGCCTCATCTTCTTGCTTAACCGAAAGCTGGCTGTTCCCTAAGATCATTACTTTCCTTGAAGGCTTCTTAAGCGATACTGTCGTCTCTCGCACATCTCTAACACCATAGGGCTAAACCCTTTGCATAATTTACATCGCTTTAGAGTTATTAAGACTAGTTTCACAGCCCTCGATGTGTTTTATCAAGGAAAATGATCGATATGGACTTGAAAAGCATGTGAACAGTATTCCACTGTTGTTGAATGAAGTGTTTTACCGATGTCAGCTAGCTTGAGTTAATAGAGACTGTTGTTCAAGTCTTCTATATCCTTGCTAGTTTTCTGTCTAGTTCTTCTATCAACTCTTTGAGAGTGGAGTATTAAAGCCTCCAGCTACTATTGTTGAGTTCTTCTATTTCTCCCATCAATTTTGTCAAGTTCTGTTGTATATATTTTGAAGCTCTGTTGTTGTGTGCATTTAGGTTTAAAACTGTTCTATCTCCCTGATCAGTGGATCCTTTTGTCATTGAACAATGTCCAATTTTGTCTCTAGTAACATTCTCTGTCTTAAAGCTTCACTTTGTCTGGTATTATTGTGGCCACTAGAGTACCCTTTTCGTTGCTGAATTCTTGGTGTATCCTTTTCCTGTCCTTTTACTCTCAGTGGATTTATGCCCTTAAATCTACAGTGTATCCCCCGTCGAGAGCATATAGTTGAATCCTGTGCTTATATCAGGTTGACAATCTCTACCTTTAGATTTAAGTGTTTAATGCATTCATAATATACGTAGATTTACACCTGTTATTTTCTGTGAGTTTTATACGTTCCTCATGTTCTTGTTCCTCTATTCCACCATGATGACCATCTTTTGTGTTAAATAGATATGTCCTAATGTACCGTTTGATTCCTTTGTTCCAGGGACCCGCCCCCTGAGGCCTCAGTGCTTGCAGGGTGGCCCTTCCTCACCTAGCAAGAGCTAGCACCTTCCCTGTGCTGGTAGATGCTAGAGTCTACTGCCCCACAAAGCCACAGGTGCCCCTCCCAGGGAAAACCCCACCTCCTCTCCATAACCTCTCTGGGGATATGCCAAGCCAGATACGGGAGAAAAGAAATTACACAGCAAGGGAGTTGCAAGAAATAGCCACCCACCCTCTACTGGCAGAAGCAGGGGAATATTCCTGAGATTGGATTTTGAGAGTGCTGGACTAATAGGACTGAAATATAAGACTGGATAAACAAGTTTTACTGAGCGGAGGCACTTTCTCATGTCACGGGATTTAACACGCTGGCAAGGACTCCAGGAGATGGTGGAAAGTCACTGCCAAAGGTGGCCCTTAGAAGCTTTACGAAAGTGACGGCCCACATGAACAGAAGTGGAAATGCCTGCCTTGGGCCGGTAGATGGTAGAGGAAGGAACCAAAAGGTTGAGTGATGCAGGCATGCTGGAACGGATAGAAAATGTGAGGCCAGTCATGTCGCCTGATGGTTACGTTCCGCGGGAGGGCCAAGAGGACACACCATTCACCAAAGCTATCGAGAGTGTTCTGGTGAGGGGTGCCCCAGGATCACTAAGAAGTTCAGTGGTTGCTCGCTTCCCCAGGCCGAGGCGGATGATGGAAGGAAAGTGGTCCCAGCCTCGGGTCATTACCGTCCCCTGGCATGATGGAATTCTGAAGCAATAGAGGGCAGAGGGCAACTCTTAACCAAGAGACACCAGGAGACCACATCTCCAGTAACAACCGGCAAGGTCAGAGGAGCAGTCAAGAGTACTTGACTGGCAAGGAGCTGAGAAGACGGTTCAGACAGCAAATCTTCCTAGGGGCAACTACAGCCAGAAAAAGGCAAGAACGCAAGAGAAGGAGGGTGTTTGTCCCAGGAAAAAGTCAAAATCTCTCTTTCAGTTCCGGGTTCTGAGGAAGTTTGAGGCCAGCCCCACTGTCTGAAGAGGTGGATGAGTCCTAAGGAGGAAGGATCCGAGAACAAGGAGGTGACTATATGTACTGTTATGATGCTGTTGTCCTTCACTAAAGGGAATGACTGCCACTTATCAGAGGAAAGAGGACTATCCAGACACTTCTAGGACTATTGGACACAGGGTCTGAGCTGACACTGGTCCCAGAGGCCCAAAGTGTCACGATGGGCCTTGTGGGGGAGTGGGGCCTGTCAAGCCCTGGTAATAAAAGGAGTTGGGGATAGAGATCAGCTCAAGGTGAGCTGACTGGGTCCATGAACCAATACGGTGGTCATTTCTCCAGTCCACAAGTTGACAATTGCAAGTGATACGCTTGGCAGTTGGAGCAATAACCCCACATTGGGTCATTGGTCTGGGAGGTAAGAGCAACCAAGTGGGGAAGGCCAAGTGGACCCTCTGAACCCCTCTGGGATGGAAAAAGGCCAAGAAACTACGTAAAAACCAATATCAGATCCTGGTGAGCATGGTAGTGGGTGTTAAGCAGACGTTAGTGACACCATTGGAGACCTATAGGATTCAGGGGAAGAGGAGGTAGGAGAGCTGCAGGGACGAAGAGAGTGGAGATGGTGTGAAGACGTTCTAGGATTCTCTCTATGGCAGAGCGGGAGGGAGGGAGAGAAGGAATGGAAATGCTGAGAGGGATGCCAGAGGCGTCCGACTGGATGCATCAGTAATGTTCTCTAGGATGAGGTGGGGACAGATTTCGCTATATCCTCCGTTACCCATTTCAGCATGCGGGAAGTAGCACACCAAGTCCCTAAAAGGCATGGGGAGAGGTGGGAGAGGGTACTGCCACACATAGGCAGCGACTGTTGGGGGGCACCCTTGAGGAGGCTCATGGCAGATGTAGAGTGCTCCCAATCGCCCCGGCTCTGTAAGCTTCTCCGGCACGGTAGGGTTCTCAGGGGCAGACCCAGAGGAATCGGGCCTTTGAGTTCCTGCAGGCAACAGGCGTCCAGACACCCCAGGCCTCTCTTGGAGATCAGCCAGAGTAGGACGCAGGAGGGAGAGGCAACGGGAAGACAGAGGAGTATGAATGGGAAAGAGAGGAAGGAATGTAGGGAAGGACTGGAGGGCTGTGGAGTAGGGACTGGGTGGAAAAAGGGGCAATTCTAACCCCGGAGGGCCTTACAGAAAGCAAGGGAGGGGCCACTTCCCAGATATCACGATAGCTCAGGCCAGGGAAGCTGGCAACCGGCAGTTTCAGGAAAATGGGACAGACAGCTGGCACCTCCCCACCACTGCCACCACCTCCGTTAGGCCTTCTTTGTGGGCCCTTCCAGACCTTTAAAACATTCTGGTACATCCACGTATATGTATTCTCAAACACTGTATGGGATTGGTTTGTTGTCGTCGTCATTGTTGTTTTAATTTACAAACGTGTACCCAAATCCCTTGGTCTGCAACTTCCTGAATGCAGTCACAAGGATGCTTCTGAAAGCCGTGAACATGCCTCATGCCTTCCTCTGACTGCAGCGTTTTCATCTCTTGGATGCACAGGCCACGTTGCATTCATCCATTTCCTTACTGCTGGGAGTTTAGAGTGCTCCCAGTGTTCCCCATCACCAACATCCTCGTGCACGTGTCCTTGGACACTGCACGTACCAGCGACTCTCCAGATGTATCTGGCAGTGGACGTGCCCAGTCATAGAGGCAATGGACGTTTTTTCAGTTTTAAGCTTACTGCTCAAAGTGATACCTGCTGTGATCCTCAGCTTCCCATCATTAAACCCCAGCATATAGCCCCATCATTTAACCCAGCAGTTAAATCCAAAGCACCCATTCCCTGCTTACTCCCTGGCTTCCTGGCTCCAGAATCCACTATGTGCTGTGAGAGTCAAATGGCCAAGGACACCACGTGGATTGGGTTATCTCCTCCCCACAAGGAGCCATGGGCTGCCGAGAAAGCAGCTGAGCAGCAAGGTCGTGGGCTCTCTCCTCTCTGCACGTAGTCTCAAGGCCAAACGCAGGCTGGTGGAAAAGCTCTGACCAACAAGGCCATATCCCTCCCCCCCCCCACCTAAAACCCCAAATAGAAACCCTTACTTTTAGCTTTTTGGGGAGTGTGGCATTTCAGCGTTAGCAGCCCTTTCTCTTGTCTCAGAGCTCTGCCGTAACAAAGTCCTACTTTCTTCCACAGCACCTGGTGTCAGAGGTTGGCATGCTGCACCACAGGTGAGTGAAAAAAGGTCAGGAGCCAGAAATCACAATAAAAAAAACCCTGACCAACAACTGTTTGGGGCAACAGTTAGGCTGTTAAGGTAGCTAAGACTATAAAAATTAAAAGAGTTTAAAGTAATATTATAGAAAGAGGTTACACCAACTTTGCCTGGATGTTTTATGGGGGGGGATAGATGTTATGTCTAACCGGGAATGCCTTCCCTACATAATATTGTAATACCAAAACTTGCTAATGGAATTTCTAATATAAGTTATAATTAGGGGTATAAAAGTTGAAAACTTAAGTTAAAAGTTTGTAAAAACTGGTATATTTAAATGGGAGTTATGTAAAATGATTACAGCTCTTTTTCCTGATTGTATTATAGATCATGTTGTGGGGATAAACATTATGTCTCACTGGGGAACGTTTGCCCTGCCTGATATTGTAAAAGCTTACAAATCCACCTTACAGGCTATGTTAATTAGACGTGCTAAAGGCGATCTGACTTTAATATGCCCAAAATGAGCCAATTTCAGCATACCAAAACTGATGTATGCAATGGAAAAAGCCAGCTACAACAATGGAAAGCCTATTTTAATCTTTTGAGGCTTCTAAATAAAATCAGAAATACTTTTCTGCCCCTTTAAGAGAAAATAAAAGGCTGAATAAATAAATAAATAAGCAGCTGAAGCCAAATCTGCTGCTTTTCTCTCCTCTCTTGCTGAGCTTCCCAGCAAGCTGAGCTTCACTTCAGCTCCCCCAAAACTCCTGATCTAAAATTAAGCAAGTAAAAATAAGTAAACCTTTGAGATAACTTAAAATTGTAATGGCCATTCTGGGAGACTTCTCTTTCAGAAAAGACAGGATTCACAATGAAATGCAGTCTTTGATTAATATGTCAAAACTTCTAAAAGACAAAGTTATTTAACATGATCCAAATTGACCTTTGGTAAACGAAAGCCTATCTGAGTTTGCTGATTTGATGTAAAATAGCCCCGTCCTCTGAGTTATCAGCACTGGATACGATGCAGACATAGAGCCTGGGTTGACTGGTCAGATGAGCTCATGTTATCTCTGTTAACAAAATAGATCAGCAAAACTAATAACTCAGTATAATAGCTAATTTTGTTTGATCTTTCATGAGGTTTTTGTAGACGACCTAAGTATAGTCGCTCAAGACAGGTAAACTAGATAGATTAAAAGGATAAAAGTTTTTTGAAAAACTTTTGAACAATAATTATGTTTTATAGTCTGCATACTTAAAAAAAACAGCTTCCAAAATCTGTTTGCAAACTTAAACTTTATAGCTTTACTAAGTTAAGTTAAATAATAAAAGTTATTGGGTAGCTGGCTCATTTCCACATAAGATAAAATAGTAAAGGTTAACTACTAAGCATAGATTTGTCTGCCTTTGGTTTCTTATATCAAAGAAACTAAAAAGCTTAGGTTTATTGATAAACATGTTTTACGTGTGCTGAGGAACTTTCTATGAAAAAACACACATGTATAAGAAAAGTAAAATGTATGTTTTCGGTAAAAAAAAGAATATAAAGAATGGTATAAAGAATGGGAATATTTTTGTTTCTTGAGTTAAGAAAGGTAAATTTGTCCTAAAGTACAGGGATAAATTTTGAATGTAAAAAAAGTAACACAAAGTTTGTGAAAGTAAAACCCTAAAGAGTTTTATGTGTGGTCAAGCTGGCTGTGATTAAAATGAATTTATTAACTGAATAAATTTATATGTCAAAGTAAACTGGTACAAAATTAAAACTGGGGCTCCTCTTTCTCGAAAGGATAATTTTCCTAAAGTTTTAAACTGCTCTTGATAAAAAGACTATACAAAGGTGGGTTTTTTTGGACTATTTTAACTCTGTTTCCCCTCGACTGTTTCTGTTGTCACTGTGAATAGATACCTGAACATGGTTTCACGGTGAGCTTTGTTTCCTATCTGGACAAATGTTTTAAAGCTTTTAATATTTTTGACAAGCTCCCCCCACCGACACACAAAAATATTCGAGTCCTGAATAAAAGCTTTCTTCTGACCTGGAAGAGGAGGAACAGTTTCTCTGGGAATTTTCAGAGGGCCACTGAGACTTCTCAGAGAGATCTGCTCTCTTCCTATAAGAAAAAAACACTAAGCTAATTAGGCTTATTTGGCATATCAGATTACACGGGAAGCGTTGTCAAACCAGTAATGATAAACTCTCTTAAATGGTACTTTGTGAATGAGTGTTATTGATGTAAGTATTTTAAAAGTTATCTAAAATTCCGATCTGTTCTGATTGTCAGCCGTGATTCTGGCTATTAGCTCAAAGTATTATACGTCACAAGAATGGTCAAGTGTCTTTGTCAATTACCATTTTTGAATGTTTTGTTATTTACAGACAGTTGTTTTACTCTGATGTTTTCGCAAATATGTTTCATCTTCAGAGAGATTCATGGAAAGGACTCTAACACTCTAGAATACAGGTTTCCGATAAACTTGCAGATTACAAAACTGAACTGGGTAGGAAATTACACAGCCCTAACAGAGAAACGGATGACTTCATGAAACTGCTGACAGAAGATTGAGATCAAGAACCAATTACATGGGACTGAATGAACTGATGAGGATGATTATAATTTTTACGGCCTTTTGCTTGACATATTGCTGATTTTTGATGCTTTGTTTTTTTTCGGATTTAAGAAAACCTTTTTCTCTAATCTCTTAAGGAACCACGATTTATAGCAATTTGTAAGCAAGATTGAAGCACTTATCTTTTTCTCCCTATCTGAGCCCTCCAAAATGTAAATACTCCTGGTGGGTAAGTACTCCTATTCTCACGGCAATATGGTTGTTTGCATAAGTCCAATAACAATCTGTTCTTCTTATAACAGGACACAACTGGAAACACGGGTTATAATACCGAGGCTTTGACTGGAACATCACATTTGAGAAAGACGTACAGGCTCAGATGTGACAAGACAGCTTCTGAGGAATGAAGGTGGACTGTCTGGAAGAAAGCCACTTGGAAATATTGGCCTGGTACCTTGCTTATGGCTTCCCAGTAACCTGGTAAGTTTGAGTAAAGAATGCCACTCCCTCTGGCAGGTGCGAGGAACCTCAATATTTTGGGGAACCTCAGGAAGAGAGGAATTCACCCAAATCTGTAGGTACTGCAGGTGGAATCTGATGACAAGTCCTTGGCTTGGTTTTCCTGACCTTCAGAGGCCTCTGAAGTTCAACTCGAGGCTCTTCGTAAAAGGTTCCAGCAAAGCAGATTTAAAAGAGCCTATATAATCAATTACTATTCTTGCTGCACTTATGTAAATAATTATGCCAAACTTCTTAAAACTTGACTTATTTTGCAAACCAGTTAGTCTTAATTTGGCTATCTTTATAAAAGGGTGATTTTAGAGAGAAAGATTATGTTTCAATAGAAACTATAATACACACGTGTAGATGTTGGATTCTGGTTCTGTCAATTGTCTCTGAGGTCTTTGTTACATCTGTTAACTGGACTGGATCCTGAATTCTTCTAGACTCCTGAAACATCTGGCTACAAGCCTCCAAACCAACATTTTCAGGTTTTTTCCCATCATTTTCATTCAGAATCACTGAAAACTAAACCTGCCCGTTTTTCCTGAAGCCTTGCAAACTGAAGCTGGAGGACTTAACATAAACTTAAGAGAGATTCATGTCTACCGCTGTGTGAGCCACTCGAAAAGCTACCTGAGTGCCCGATGACACCATGGGAGACATTTCAAACTGCAAAGGATGCTTCAACCCTGACTTCTAGGAATCTCGATTGCTTGCCTCCTGGGCTCAGGAACTAGTTTACAATTTGCTCCAACCGTTAACCTTGTTTTTCTCTTTTTGTTTCTCTGGGGAAACTTCTTATTAGATACCTGGTTACTTACTTACATGACACAGGCCCAACTTTGGGGACACACCTGCATCACCACCTTATTAAGAGACTGGTTCAGTGAGATGAAACCACCTAGGCCCCAATTCAAGCAGGAAGTAAGTAGCTGAATTGGTCACAGCCCCAAATCCCTCAAGAATGAGGGATGAACATAAAATAGGGGAAACTGATACCAGCTCTGATTTCACTTTCCCAGTGTTACAGGCTCTTAACATCAGCCCTGATATCAGTTCCCCCACATTGAACCCAGCGTATACGGCGTTAAAACTAAAACCCACCACCCCCTTTCCTGCTTCTCTAGCTCCACTCACATGCAAATACCTGTTTCTTTAAACTTGGACTCCTTGAGCTTTACAACCAAATGGGAGCTACAAATTGTTAAAAGCCCAGGTGGCCTGGAGTTGGAGGCACACTAAAGTTTAGCTAATCACGTGTCCTTGAGTTTGCCAGGAAAGCCGCTGTCTCAAGAGTATCAAGGAGCGGAGGCTCCCCAGACCTCAACTCCTCGACTCCGACTCCCGGCGCTCGAACCCGAACTGGAAACAAGAAGACGAGACACCGGCGAAGGACGCCCACCTGCCATCCTCCTATCTCACCCTCCCCCCTGCCTTGCTGCAAGCAGCCTCTCAAGGCCAAACGCAGGCTGGTGGGAAAGCACCGAGCTGCACAAGCTACATGTTCCCCCCTCCCCTACCCAAAACCCCAGATAAAAATCCCTACCCATTCCTCATCGGGGAGCTGGCAATTTTTGAGGCATGAGCCCTTGCTTTGCTCCCTGTGCCTGGCACAGTAAAAACCTCTCCTCTTCCACTCAAGACTCTGTTCTCGTTATTTGGATAGGCATCGGGTTCAGAGACCGAACTTTCGGTTACACCATCGTTAAACCCAGCATCTACGTGGTTAAAACCAAAGCACCCATTCCCTGCTTACTCCCTGGCTTCCTGGCTCCAGAACCCACCAACCGCCTTTATGGAGACAAATGCCAAGGACAACCACGTGGATTCCCTATCTCCTCCCCACAAGGAGCCACAGGCTGGTGGGAAAGCAGCTGAGCAGCAAGGTCACGGGCTCCCTCCTCTCTGCACGTAGTGTCAAGGCCAAACACAGGCTGGTGGAAAAGCTCTGACCAAAAGGGCCATATGCTCCCCCTCCCCTACCTAAAACCCCAAATAAAAACTCTTAGTTCTAGCTTTTCGGGGCGTTTTGGATTTCAGCGTTAGCCGCCCTTTCTCCTTGCTCAGCGCCGTGCAAAATAAAGTCCTCTTTTCTTCCACTACACCTAGCGTGAGATTGGCTTGCGTTGCAAAGGGTGAGCCAACTCACTAGAGGTTCGATAGCAAAAGCGAGGACTCTGCAGCCAGACGGCCTGGTTTGAAGCCTGCCACTGACCCCAACAAGCCGAGCCACCCTGGGCCACTGGCCGAACCTCTTGGGGCCTGTTTCCTCCACCATAAGAGGGCGGTACGAGTGGCTACTTGAATCCTAGGCTTGTCCTGAGGACGCGTGACTACTTATCTACGGCGCTCAGAAGAGTGCCAGACACCGACGGAGTCCGCGTGGGAGAAGTTTCTTTTCCTGGACGCTGCCAAACGACCCTCCCAAATGTCTCTCCTGCCCCGCTGCCACAACCAGGGCCCCTTCCCCACCCCAGGCCCCCCTGCGACGGTCAAAAGCACGGGTTTGCTCGTGACGTCCCCCACCTTAGAAGGGCGAAGGTCTTGGATTGTTGCAAACGTGGCGTGTGAAAACCGATCTGTGGCTTTCTGTCTCGCCTCCAGGACCAGCGACGCTGACGACCCTTTGGGGCGAGCACTGGGTGTTGGGATTCCCCCTCGTTTGAACTGACTCGCAGTGGGGGAGGGGCCGAGAGACGCGGGGCAAACCCCGGCCCAACCCCCAAACCGGCCTGAGCACACAACCATGGCCGATTTGAGCAGCTACCGTCCTCGAGCAGTTGCGACAGGGACCCTACAGCCGTAAACACAACATTTGCTCTCTGGCCCTTTACGGCGGAAACAGTACGCCGACCCCTGATGGCTGGCTGCGGGCTGCCTGTGCCCATTCTCCTATGGGGTCGTACATCTTGTGGACTAGAGGCCGGCCCATCCCTCGTGCGCTACGGGCCCCATCGGGGGCCTGCCGTGTCCCCTCACAAGCCCCACCGCATGCCCCCCTGGGCCCGGGGCCGGCCTTGCCCCGCTCCGTACGCGGGAAACCGGGGCTCAGAGCCGCGGCTGCTACTGGAAGGTAGCCTGTGCCGGGGAGGCGGGCTGTTCGGAAGAGGCGGGACGAGCGCCCCGACGGCCGCACTCAGGCACGGGACGGGCTTCCCACTGCCGGCCCGCGAGGGGCTTCGGAGGCCCCCAGGGCCCCTGGACGCGATAGGGGAGGGCCTCGGGGGGCGGGCCCACAAGGGGCGCGCTGGTTGGCGGGGGCGGACCCACGCGAAGGGCGCGGCGCAGGCGTCGAAGGCGCGCGCAAGCCGCGCGTGGTTTGAGGCGATCTCGTGCGCCGCGTCTGGGGAGGGCCGGCGTCCCCCACCCCCACCGCCGCCCCCAAGGCCTCGCCGCTGCGCGCGCACGCGCGCCGCCACCCGTCCCAGCGCGCCCGGGGCCATCGTCTCCCGCGAGGCGGCCGGGGACCCCCCCGGACTCCCGACATGAGCTCCCCCGACGAGGGGTCTGTCTGGGGCGCGGGTTTCGGCCCGGAGGGCGGGGCGCGGGCCGGCGTCCGCCCCGCCGAGCCCGGAGCCCTGCGGGCAGTCGGTCTAGGCCCTGCTCTGGGGGCGCCGCGGAGCGGCGAGGGCGAGGGCGAGGGCGGCTTCCCCCAGCCCGGGGGCCGCCCCAGCTGCCCGGCCGACGGCAGGGACGCGGCGGCGGACCGCGCGTCCTGCCCGGCGCCGCGGGCCGCGGCGAACGTCGTGCAGCAGCTGACCCGGCGGGGCGTCTGCAGATACCGGTCCCCGGAGAGCTGCGCCGCCCGAGGCTCCACCGTGTGGGCGGGCCTCGAGCCAGGTGCCGGCGGCCCCGGCGCGCCTGCCCTTAGCTGGGTGGCGTCGCAGCCGGCTTCCGCCGCCCTGCTCCCGCTCCCTGGGCCCGAGGGCGGCCCGGCCTGGGGCAGCCCTAAAAGAGGCGGGAGGAGCAGGCTGGGCAGCCCTGCGAGTCGCGGGCGGCCCTCGGCGGGAGGCCCGTTCCGGCTGCCTTCCGACCCCGAGCCATCAGACGAGGCCAGCGAGCTACAGCGGACGAGGGTGAGCCTTTGCCCCGGAGAAGGCGGCCAAGCCCAGCCCAACGGCCCCGAGCATCCTGGGGACCCCCCCAGACGCTCCAGTTTCCCCGCCAGGGAGAATTTCCTCCACGTGCCGGGCTCTTTCCTGCCCTCCGCTGCCCGAGCGTTCACCTTGGCTGTGGAGAGGCGGGCTGTTGGAGAGCTGGACTTCTCTTCCTCCAAGAAAGTAGAGTGTGTGGTCTGGGGCAAGGGGGGGAAGAGGCCCAGCTACCAGGCAGCGGCCGCTGCTGCGGCCGCCGCCGGCGGCGTCCTGTCCCGGGCGACTCCCTGGAGGAAGGCGGCCCCGGAGAAGAAATCCCTGGGGGCTGCCTCACAAGTTGCCCAAGGGAGAACCTTTCTTTCCTGGGGGCAGAGAGCCTCGGCAGCTCCCCTGGACCCGGCCACGTTCCCGCCAGTCTCTGACGTCCCGCTGCTTGTGAGGTGCAGGAGGGCCAAGCAGTCCAAGCAGCCCGGCACTGGGAAGAAATCTGTGGCCGGGAGGACAATGGAGTCTCAGCCGGTGGAGGTGGCGGGAGAAGATATTGACCCAAACAGCGACCCAGCCCCGCGGGGCCAAGTGAGTAGGCCCTGCGCCTCCTCTCTCCCCGCCTCTGCCCCCACCCCAATCGGGGACTTCTTTACCCATGCTCCCTCTGCCCTTCCCTCGGGGGTGGTCACTGGGGACCCTCGGTCATTAGGTTGCCGGAGGGGGGTCGTCGTAGAAGGGGAAACGTGAAGCTAGCACTGCATGGGGGGGGGGGTGTGTGTGTGGGGGGGGGGTGCTTGCGCGTGTGCGCCCGCGCGCGTCTGCCGGCCACCATTCTCGACCCTGGTCCTGTTTCCTGCGCCCTCCCCCAGAGAGGAGCTGGGATGGAAGGGAGGACTGGTAGCTGGTTGGGACCCGGGGCCCCCTTAAAAGTCTGGGCCGCAGAGCTTCCGTGTTCAGACTCCCGGGCTTCCTGATCCTACTTCCTAGCTGTTCCCCAAGCCTTCTCTGCAGGAGACCTGGGCTTTCTCAGTGCCCCACTGTTCTCCCCAGCTCAGCTCTGCCTCCTGGCCTGGAGCTGACTGAGGGCGAAAGTGCTGATGAGATCAGCCTCTGAATTCCCTGGCCTGTTCCCTGCCCCACCCCAGCCTCTAAACGCATCTGGGTACGGACACGGACACACACACACACACACACACACACACTCTCACACACACACACACACTCTCACACTCTCACACTCACACTCTCTCACACGCTCTCACATCCCCGGTCCAAATGGGTGAGAAATGGTTCTTTAGCCTCCAGGACACAGACCAGGGCCATGTAGTCGGTGCGTGCGTCGTCCAGAAGGCAGCAGTGGCCACCTCAACACCAGAGCCGCTCCCCAAGTTGCGGGAAACCCACAGTGCTTGGCCCGGAGCCAGGGAAATACGGTGCCCAGGGGGCCTGCACCCTCCGGTGAGTCTTCTGGGTGAGTGAGCCGCGAGTGAGGGGAGAGCGGACAGGAAGGGAAGGCTCTGGCTCTGGCTCTGCTGGCGGCTCAGCCTTGCTCCCAGGCCTCGGTGCCTACCCAGGCAGCTTCTCCCAAGGAGGCGGGGCATGCACGGGGCTGGCCTTCAGCCACATCATGCTCTGCAGGGGCGCAAGTCCTTAGCAGCGCCCCAAACCGCGACTCCGGACGTAGACTCTCCGCGGGACAAAGCCTTTTCTGCTGAGTTCTCTTGGGCCGCGGGCTCATCCCGGGGCACGGGCTGTGGCTGCGGCTCTGGGAGAGTCCCACACAGGCCCCAGTCCTGGGGGGCACAGTGGCACTGGGGCTGCCCCTGGGGAACAGGACAGGCGAGGCAGGCCCTGAGAGAAGATGGGAGCTGCGGGGCAGAGCAGGGGCAAGTCCATGCCAGCAGAGGGTGGTGCTGCCTCACTTTCCACTTCCCTGGGAGCCTTGGAAGCTGGACGTCCTGTTCCTTCCCACTCAGGTGACCAGGAACCACTTGACCGACCTCCAGGACGGCAAAGGCAGCAGCAACCACGTGGAGCACGGGGCTGTCCTCGGGTATTGCTTCCGTGGCTCCTAGAGATGCAGGCCCAAACGAGACGGTGGGGTCGGTGTGCAGGGTCAGCTGACATACGTGTCCCCCTCCGCGCCCCATCCCGCACCCCGCGGGGGGAGCGCACCTCCTTTCCCCGAGGAGCCCCTGCCAGTGTAGCTGCTGGGGTTTCGGAGGTAGGGTCCCGGGGAGAGGGGAGGTCGAGGCGAGAGGAGGCCAGCAGATACTAATCGTTTCTCTTTCTCTGGTGTCTGCCGGCCTAGTGTCACGTGCTACAGAGAGAAATAGGCGACCTGAAAGAGCACCTTGGTATGAGGCACCTCTGGCTGGGGCTGGGGCAGGGGCCGGGGCAGGGGCCCCGGGACCGCCTGCGGTGTCTTAGTGCAGGACTCAGGGCCCCGGGGTGGGGCTGGCGGGCGCAGGGGCAGGCGGCCTCACAGGGACCAACGTTCCCGTGGGGAGGAGAGCCCAGCAGGCCTGGCCCTGGAGCCTGCTGTCAGGTACAGCCCAGCGCCTGTGCAAATAGGAAAGCGTTGTCTGCCCTGCACGCGCGCACTGTCGACGCGAACGAGGCCTAGAGATCTCCTCCTATTGGGACGCTCAGAGATGCCTCCTTGGTTTTCCCTGTACCGGCTGCTTGGTGTGCCTTGTCCGCTGCCGTGTGTTGGTTCATTTGACGAGTTCCGAGTGGCTCCGACATGCCCCAAAGCTGGAGACCCACTGGCACGTTTGGTTCTCGTTTAGAAAACATTTCCCCCACGGAATTCAGGTGGTGGGTGACTGAGTCCGGCCCGGGGCTGCTTGCACAGGGCCCGGAGGGGCTTCCAGGGGCAGGGCTAGGCCGTCCCCCCCGGGGACAGGGGCACGGGCTTCTAGATCCCTGTGGGTGGAGTGCCTGCTTAGGCCTCTCTCTGTTTCAGCGGCCGTCCTGTCCCTGGCTGACAAGTTCCAGAGCCTTTGAAGTGAGTGTTCCACACACCAGACCCCTTCCCACAGTCGGGGCTCTTCCGGAGGGCTGGGGCGGACCCTGGCCTCAGGCTCCTCCCCGGCCCCGCTCTGTTTCCAGGTTGAGCCCAGCACCTTCCCGCAGGAGAAGCAGCTGGTGCCTTTGGAGCCCGGGACCTGTGGCCAAGCTGGTTCCCTCCTGTTCTCCCTCAGCCTGGGCTTCCTCTCCCCTTCTCTTGCCCCCTCCCCACCCCAGTTCACAGCAGTTTCACATTAAAGAACCTCTCATATTCTGTGGTCTGTCCTCTCTTTTGGGGCGGGGGTGGGGAGGGTGTGGGGGTGTGCGGGTCGGGGCAGGCAGAGGGGTTGGGGCGGGCTGGGGCACTGCCGCATTTCAGAGCCTTTTCCGGAAGAGGAGCCCTGGCATTCTGTGTGGGCCTTCTCCCTGTGGGGAGTCTGGGCCAGCCTCTGATGGGAGCCCTGCAGTCAGGCCAGCAGGGTGCCCGGGGTCTGGGCTCTGGCTTCTGTGTGGGCGCCGCCCAGCCACACTCGCATTTACCCGCTTTCCCCTGCAGGTCCCCTTGGTCTTCTCTCCGAATCTCCTCTTCTGGGGTCTCCAGGTTTCCCATTCCTCGCGGCTCTTCCCCTTGCCTTCAGCAGGAACTCGGGAGCCCCTCCAGAGCCCCAGTCCCTTCTTCCCTTCCCTCACTGGGATCACTGCCCTGCTTCTCCCGTCCACCCCGCTTTGTGGTCTGAGGACTCTTGATGCCTTGGGTGGCTTTCCGCCCGTCACTGGCCGCCCCTGCAGCTGTACTTGCATGGGTGCTAAAGAGCACGTTTGAGCTCCTCTTCCCCCTTCCCCGGCCCAGTCCTCTCTGCGTGGTCCCTGCCTCCCTCTGGTGGCGCCACGCGCACAGACAGCTCAGGCAGGAACCTGCACGTTTTCTTCCTCCTCTCTTTAGCCCTCACCTTTGACACTCGCTTCCCAAACCTGTCAGTTCTCCCTCCTTGGTTTCAGTAGAGGGGTGGAGGCAGAAGTCACAGCCCCGTGCGATGGTGGCTCGTGGAGCCGGAGGGAACGTACTGGGCACACAGAAGAAAAGTGCAGGTCACTCTCTGGGCCGCTGTCGGGGAATGAGTCTGTTGTGGGGCCAACGCGGGGGAAAGGGCCCGCCGGCACCCAGAACTGGATGGTCTCGCCATAGGAGCTTTCACGTCCTTCCGGTCCTAGCCTTCCTCCAGCCTGGTCTTCTCTATGCCCTGGACTGCAGAGTGGCCGGGCGGCTTCTATGGCAAGTGTGCTTGGTGGGTCTCAGTGTTCCCGCACGATCCCCTTCACATACTGCTGGAGCACCTCCGTGACACGGATTTGGCTGGAGATGATGCTTCTGGGTCCCAGCTCAATCTCCCCAGCCTGCCTCTTTAGGTCTCACAAGATGTAGTGTGAACTCCAGGTTCGACTTCCCCTCCCTGACAGTTGGAGGTGGCTTCCTTCCTTGACCCGGACCCGGGCCTGTGTGCCGGCCTGAGACTCCGAGGGACAGATTGGCGTTTGAGTGAGGGGAGGGTGAGTTCCGCCAGACCCGCTGCCCGAGAGCCTGGGTACAGAAAAGGGGGACCGTGGTCGATAGGACATTCAATGTTGGGGCAGGTGTGCGTGTGAATAAAAGTCATCGTGGGCCATCTCCTCTGAGGGAGAAAGTTGTCATTCGGGGAGTAAAGGGAGTGGAGACCGTGGTCAAGAACTTGCAAGAGAGCCAAGGAGCAAAAGCCAGTGTCGGATCTTTTTTCCTAAGGGGTGTTCCTAACAGCTGCTGACAACGTGGGGGAGGAATGACAGAAGTCACCAAACGCCCCGACGGGGTGTCAGGGGCTCCGGTTGTTGGAGTCGCTGGAGGAGGCTCTGGCTGCTCCTCTGCCATCCCAGGATGTCTGATGCGTGTCCTGCGTGTGTGTCGACGGAATGAGAGGGGGAAGGCTGGCTGCCTCAGAGTAGCGGGGACACGGCTCAGCTCGGAAGCTGGGAGCTGATGGAGGAGACTGCCCCAGGGTGAGCTGACCGGGCCAGGGCAGGATGGGCACGGGGAGGATGGGAAGTACAGCGTGACCGCCCCTGGGAACCTGGGCAGACTGGGTTCCACCCTGAAGACCCCGTGGTCGCACCCTGTCTCCCTCCCGGGCCCCGGGCCTGAGCTCAGGTGGACAGGCCGTCGGGCATGGGATGGGCCAACCCCAGACCTCCGGGCCGGAAAGCAAGGTTCGTGGGACTTAATCCTTCCACTTCGAAGCCCTCGCTGGAGAAGGCGGCCTTGATTGAGGCTTAGGCTCTGGCTTTGCCCCTGACCCCACGGTGATTTCTTGGCGGGACAACACAGCTCGCTGCTGTTGAGTGAATAAGTTTGGCAGAGACTTCGCAGCTGGGGTTTCCGCCCACGGAGACCTGCGTGCAGGTTGTGGCTGGGGGGCTGTCGAGCACCGGCACTGCCGCGGGGGGCACGGGACCATGCTCACCAGCATGAGGAAGGGGAGCTGCGCGTGGAAGGGGACGTGGGAGGGCATGAACACGACCCTTCATGACTGGTTTTGCCAGCCCCCTTTCCCTGCTCTGAGCGCGCGATCTCTCTCCCCGGTGTTCAGACCAACTACCGCACTATCATGTTGCTGTAAACACGTACACCACAGGCCGTGGCTCGGCGCCTGCCAGTTCCAGGGAAAGCAGGTGACAGATACTGAGGCCTAGAGTGACCAAGTACTTCTGTGCCCAGAGGAAAGGAGGAGGTCGGTCCCCTCCCCTGATTCAGTGTCCCCCCCCTTTGCCCTTCCCCTCAAGCCTCCTGGCCAGCCAGGGAGGGAGTGGCGGCTGGCCTCGAGAGCCCTAGGCCCCCTCCTGCCTCCTTCTGCTACGTGCCCAGCCCCTGAGCAGATGCCCCCTCTCCCACCGAGCAGTACCACCATCCCCACCACCAGTACCGTCACCACGACCCGCCAACTTCTCTCTCCAGAAACTCGGGGAGGATTGCCCCGGGCGAGAATGGAGGAGCATGTGAGCACCTGAGGAGGAGCTGGGTGTGGTTGGCAGCGTAATGGTCCCCAAGGATGTTTTCATCCTAATTCTCGGAATCGGCTAGCAGGTTACTTTGCGAGGCAATGGGGTGCAAGTTTGCAGAAGCGATAACCATTGCTACTCAGCTGATTTAAGGTGGGGAGACCCTCCCCCGTGTTTTCCAGGTCCGGCCGGGCAAATTGGGGCTGCCAGGGTGGCCCTCGGAAGTGTACCTGCCTGAATCCAGGGTGCACCTTTCGCCCGACTGCAGGGTGCTGGGCGCCCCTGCGCTTGTGCCACGTGGAAGTCCTGGTAACCACCACTCAGATGAAGATAGAGAACATGGACAGTCCTTCCGGAACCCTCATTTGCCCCAGGCCGACCACTTTCCCCATCCCTCGGTTTCCTGGGAGAACCGCTGTCCTGGCTTTTCCAGTAAGCATTCGCTTTCCTTTAACGGATAACAACTGCTATTTAATAAATAACCCTTACCAGTTTAAGAAAGACACAGTACATGAGATTAAATGTGAATTGCATTTATGACCCGCACACTACATATCCACAGTTGTAGAAAGCAGAAGCTTAGGAATTGAGAAATAAGTTATGAAGTGATCACGCCGTGTGACGGCTACCCAGGTGAAGAAACGGCACGTTGCACCTGCAGAAGTCCCACACGTGCCCCTCCCCGTGAAGGAAGCCAAATGCACAAGTCCACATGCCGGGGGATTCCGCTTCTATGACATCCTTGAGAGGGCCCAACTCGAGGGACAGAGAACAGGTCGGTGGTTGCCAGGGTCTGGGCGTTGAGAGCGGGAGTGTACCTACCAAAGACCAGGAAGGAAATTTGGGGGTGATGGAAACGTTTTCTATTTTGATTGTGGTGGTGGTTCCGTAACAGTAGGCGTTTATAACGATTCGCAGACCCTGTGTATTATGTACCTCAATAATCCCGACTTTTAAAAACAATTGTAACAAGTACAGCAGGACCGGATATGGATATTACTAACGATTTTTTTCTGAACACGAGGTTCGTGATTTTCCCCCGTAATCTGTTAATGTGGAATATTATATTGCCTTATTAGCCGCAGTTTCGTCGTGGCATAGTATGTATTTTCCTTCTTATGCCCTGTAGGGTTCGGTTTGCTAATAATCTGTTTCTGGTTCTTGCTTCTGTGTCACGAGTGTGTGATTGACCCGCGATTGCCCTTTCTCAAATTGTCCTTGACGAGATTTAGGATCAAGGTCATTCCATCCTCACAAAATGAGGTGGGGGATGTCCCTCCTTGTCTATGCTTCCTAAGAGTTTGTGTCAAACTGGAAACATTCATGCCTAGGATGTTTGTCAGAATTCAGTGGGGAAGCCTGGAGTTTTTGTGAAAAGCTTTTGACTAGTGCTGATATGTTTCTTTATGCTCATGCAACGATTTGGGCTGCCTCTTGACTCAGTTTTGGCACGTTATGTTCTTCTAGACATCGGTCACCTCTTTCTAAGTTTGCAAATTGATTGGAATCAAGACGCTCCTTAATGTCCTCTCTTTCCCCAAGTTTTATTTTTGAAAATGTGTGTCCTGCAGATAGTTGCACGAAAATGGCCAGGAACACCCATATATCTCTCAGATGGGGTCACCCGTTATTGACTTTTTGTCACATTTGTCATATTGTCTCTCCCTCTTTCTCTGTGTATATCTGTGTGTGTTTAATTGTTGTGTTGAATCATTTGAGTTACTTTCGGACATTAGCATATCGTGCCTAAATACGTCAACACGTACGTCTTAAGACAAAGAATGGTCTACTACAAAATTTGAATGCAATGACCACACACGGAAAATTTAACATCGAGACAATACAATTGCCTACTATGTGATCCTCTCTCAAAATGTCGGATTGCCCCACTATTGCTTTTCATACCTACTTCTAAAAAGAATCCTGTTTCCTATCAAAGACTGTGCATTGCATTCAGTTGTCAGGTCTCTTCAGTGTTATCCAAAGTAACAGTTCCCCAGCCTTCTTTTGGTCTTGCCTGACGTTGACATTTTTGAAGATCCAGTCCAGCTGTTTTTCAGCGAGCTTCGATTGGAGTTGACTTTCCCGATTGCTTCCTCCCGCTTTTTCTCTGTGTTTTTCTAGGAGTTTTACATTTTCACTTCTTACGTTTAGGTCTTTAATCCATGTCAAGTTCATTTTTGTGAGTGCTGTAAGATAGGGGTCCATTTTAATTCTCTGCATGTGTTTATCCAGTTTTCCCAACAG